GATGTCTTTCTTTTTTATATGCATAATTTACAGGACAAACTGCGCATTTCACCCACAATTGTTTGGTGTGATATGATTCCAAATTTAGGGGGGGCCAAAGGGGGGCCAAGTTTGTTGGCAGGGGGGCACTGGCCCCCCAGAACCGCCCCTGTATGCAGAGTTTCTATTTAGGCGTGTTTGCAGCGTTGAGCAATGCAGTGCTGAAATTTGCATGCTCATGAATCCTCTCATTATAACACACGAATTGTAGACATTATGAAAGATTCATTATGCATATATTTATTGTGTTATAACAGAGATTTGTGAGATTGCGATGAACTGAGATGTCTTTTAGAGATTATAAATGCAGCGCTCTTTGCTGGCATTCTGCCATCCAAACCATGCACGCAGCAGCCGCTTGCTTTCGTTAAAAATAACAGTGTTCTGTGAATGTTGATGTTTTAATAACAAATACTTATCGGTAGCGTGTATGGTGGGATATCATAAATTTAATGGAGAAAAAAGTAACGTAACTAATTACTTTTGAAATAAAGTAATCAGAACAGTAACGTGATTACTTTTAAAAGGAGTAATCAGTAATTTGATTACATTTTCAGAGTAACTTGCCCAACACCGTTTATGAAACACATGTGACTGAAATTCGAATAGAACAGGTAATTGAAATCTACATGTAACGCTAATATACACCACATACACATAGTCACGCAATGCTGATGTTGTTAACATTAACATTTTGAGAACAAAGTATAACAATAATAATAATTTGCACGGTTTGATGTGATATGAGCTAACCGATCGTTAGATTTAATCACCATTGGTAACGCAATTTATTGTCACGCTTATTTCCTCAGTTGGTCAGAACAAAAGTGGCAGACTTGTTATTTACTTGTTCAGATGACAATATCCGGTGAAAGTTCTTATTTGGGTCATACTTTCAAGACGTAGAATCTATGATTCCTAAGTACAGTGAATATCCACACCGGTGCGGTGACTGACAGTCACACATACTCCTCAAAACATTAGATTCATCTGCACTGAGAAGCCGTGCCGATGCACAACCCACGTAAAGAAGATCATTCCGCAAAAAACTGCAATTGCAGGTTTCAAACAGAGATGGCGACAAAGAGGCAAAACTTACGGACTGCAGCTTTAAAGTTGTTTTTTGTAGAATTTTGTAGAAAAAGAGCACCATGAACATTCTGCTAAACATGTCTTTTGTGTTCAATGGAAAAAACAAAAAACATGCCAATTGTTTTACTTGTCTTTTTTTAGGTAAATCCCTCAGGAAAGAAAAAGATATATTAGGGAAAGGTACAGGCAAATAATGGATGATGTTCTAGTTGTTATAAACATTTCTGCTTTCCTGAATACTGAATCTTCCAGCCACAATCAATAAATGCTTGCAAACAGCCCCAACTGTCACAACAAAATCAAGTATTTTAAATAATACAGTATCAAGACACTATCAAGACGTTAAAAATGAGTTAAAAAGATGAGTTAAAAAAAAGGTTGGGGGAAGAAACAGCAAATGAAATGTGTACCTCTGTCTTGGCAGCGGCTGGTTTCTTGGCTGCTCTGACGCTTGGGGTGCGTTTTGGGGCCTTATCTGCTGCATCTTCATCTGAATGCTCCGTCCTGCTATCTGACTGTTCATCAGAGCGAGACATGTGCTGTGATTCAGTGTCAGCCGGTATGGGTGTGGCACGAACTGAAGAAAATAATAATAATAATAGACACAGTTTAGACATATTCCTTTCTACGCCGCAACATGTGCTATACTGGATTTTTTCCCTTTTAGATGTGCAGCTGCCACGAATGTGACGTGTTGCTATTTGCTTTTTATTCATTTGAGATAAATTATTCGAACAGCCAGATTAGAGTAGGTAGAGTAGGCTACATTTTCACCACAGCTGAATGTCGCTCGAGTCATATTTTAGATTTTTCACCCAATCTGACATTTTCAATTTAGATCGGGCAACTTTAATATGTGAAAATACATTGCATATATATTTTAAAATGTAAAGCTTTAAAAAAAAAATTGGAAGACATTGTCAGATAAACAACACAATATTAGGGCTGTCAAAAATAATGTGTTCATTAATACAACTAAAGCAGCATCTGTTGTTTTATTTCCCCCTTCCTTAAAGGGTTAGTTCACCCAAAAATGAAAATTAGCCCATAAATTACTCACCCTCAAGTCATCCTAGGTGTACATGACTTTCTTCTTTCAGACGAATCCAGTCGGAGTTATATTAAAAATTGTCTTTGATCTTTCAAGCTGTTTCATGGCACTCAGCGGGTGTTGCATGCATCAGTCCAAAAGAAGTCAAATAAAAAGCGCCCATCCATAAAAAAAGTGTCTCACACGGCCTCCGGGGGGTGAACAAAAGCCTCCTGTAGCGAATCGATGCGTTTTCGCCCATCCATAAAAAAAAAGTGTCTCACACGGCTCCGGGGGGTGAACAAAGGCCTTCTGTAGCGAATTGATGCGTTTTTGTAAGAAAAATATCCATATTCAAAACGTAATAATCACTTTAATGTAGCTTGCACCAACAGTCCTACACGGAAGCAGCTCCGAGAGGATGACGTTGAGGTCAGCGCTGCGCATGCGCCAGTGAGTCTCGTGAAAACCAACGTTTGTTAACAGGAGCAAAGGAAGCAAAGTTTCCTTACTTTAGCAAAGGAAAACCAGTCTCCTCTTGGCTTATATCGAAATCCTCCGACATTCTTCTTTACAAATCCTCGTTTTGTACTTCTAATTAGTGACCGTTGTTTTGTTTTGATCTCTCCCCTGCGCTTCCGCGTGTGTCACTTCTGAGCGGCGCATGCGCAAAACCGACCTCATACGTCATCCGCCCGGAGCTGCTTCCGTGTACGTTATGGGCTAATTTTCATTTTTGGGTGAACTAACCCTTTAAATAGCTATGCCAGTATCTTTTTCTCTACATCCTTTGTTACAGTACATGATCACGCTATCTGTGCGCTGCTAACAATCTCGGTTGATTTTCCTATTTATTGTCAAAATAAATGCACAAAAAACCTGGAGGAAAAAATTCAAATAGAGAGCTGATATTGACAGAGACAGAAACATCATTATATTTCTATATACTGCACAATATATTAAAAGCACAGCTAAATATGAAATGTATTATAATGGGTTTATTTGAAGATTGTTTTAGGGGACTTAAATTAAGAGAACATGCTTTGTGTTCTGTAACACTTTAGGCCTATTACATTTTAAAAATGATCGCACACATTTTATTGCAATGTTGAATGGTTATATTTACTCATTTTATCCCCAGAAACCCCAGAGGCATTAGTAACAGCATTGGTATTGGTGATACTTGCCTGCATTCATAGTACTTCGTAAAAAGATACTGTCTTTTTGTTGCTTGCTTCTACTGTACATTCATTTGGAGATTCAAATGTGAAAATATATTTTTGATTACAAATTTGAATGTTAGGTTTGATATAATTACAGAAAAATGTGTGATTTATTAGTCAATTTTTTAATCGATTAACATCACTACAAAATATCAATGAAGTGATATTAGGAAATTTTGTTACTATACAATAAAAAGTTTAGATCTTGGCCTGTTTAGACCAGTATCTAATACAAGCCACATTAAGGTCATGTGAATGAAATCAAATGAATCAACCAAATCAAATACAAGCATCAAATTTGTCTTGCGGTGTGATCACTGGCTCTCTGGCATTGCGGTGTGAACAGACTCTCTCTGGCATTTAAAGCTTGCCAGGCCTCATTCAAAGCCTGAAACACAAAGACTTCTTTAGAAGAGCCATTTGCTTTTCCGTTCACAATGTATCTTTGACGCCCTGTAATTCAATGAAGGAGCTCTGTGGCCTAATAAAATCACTACACATCTCATTATTGAAATGATCACCTCTCTGTAGAACTCGGGAGTGATTCTACAACAGACTATCTTTTGTTTGCTGTAAAGCCTCACACGAGGGTCATGACCTTCAGTGACTTGCGAGTCTCGTGACGTCCCGGTATTTGAAGAGGTCAAACTCGGCACTTGTCCTGAACCGCTTAAATGAGCGCTGAAACTCATCAGTGTGCAGTTGCGTATGAACAAACCCCAGCAGATCGACCCCTCCTGTCTCTCAGCCAGTAGGCAGCTGAATCACATGCTGGTCACATCAGCATCAGCATTATAAACAGGCCGAGACAACGGCTGCCTGCAGAGCGGCTTTCAATGAGTCAGCAAACACACATACCTCACTGACCTATTTGTGTGTGTTTGAACAGGACAGACCATTATAAATATGAGCTGTATTCAAAGTGATATTTACTAGAGTGATCTGTCACTATAGTTACAGGCATTAAAGAAGCTGATTTACTTTGGTTATTTTTCAATCCCCACTTGTCTGTATGTAGAGGATTAGATTTAGGGAGTCACACCTGTTAGTAAATACGGCTGTTGAAACCACTGTGGGAATGCGGCCTGTTAGGTTTTATTCCATAAAGTTTGATTCTGTTAGGACAGTAGCCGTGTGTATGTTACCTGTGCGCGTGACTGTTTTAGCCCGAGGTAGCGTGGCGGCAGTGTGTGTGTCGTCTGTGCCGTCCAGCTGCAGCTCGTCTTCGTTCTGAATCAGAGTCAGATCCTGCATGCTGAAACTGCGCAGCTTCTCTGATAACACACCCTGACCCTGCAGTTCAATAACACAAAAGATTCAAATATTACAATTGCATAATCTTATTCAAGGCACATCACAATTATACTGCACTTGTACATATGACAATAAAGTTCTTTGCACAGTTGGAATAAAAGACAAATATGTATTGAACAGTGACCCTGCCCTACACTTTGCAAAATATATAAAGATATGTTTCTTTCTCAACGGTACACAATATGCAAAAGAAAAATAAATAAACCTGCTCTTCACAATAGCACCTAGCAATCTCAGTAATAAATAATTTTTTATGCTGGACCAGTAGGTCAGAAAATTACTTACCCTGGATTTTTTAAATATAATTATATAAAATTATAATTATATAATTATATTCACTAATGTTAAAAATTAATACTTTTATTAATTAAGGACACATTAAATTGTTCAAAGGTGTCAGTAAAGACATTTATAATGCTACATATAATGCTTTTGAACTTTCTATTTGTCGAAAAAAAAATACAAAAATATTAAGCAGCACAACTGCTTTTAACATTGATAATAAAAATAAGAAATGTGAATATATATCAGCATATTAGAATGATTTCTGAAGGATCATGTGGACTCTGAAGACTGGAGTAATGATGCTGAAAATTCAGCTTTGCATCACAGGAAGAAATTACATTATAAAATATATTCAAATTAAAGATAAAGCAGTTATTTTAAAAAGTACAAATATTTCACAATATTACTGCTTTTGCTGTATTTTGGATCAAATAAATGCAGGTGAGCTTTAGCTTTCTATCACAGGAATAAATTAAATTTTGAAATGCATTCAAACAGAAAATAGTTTTTTTTTTTTTTATTGTAGTAATATTTCACAATCTTACTGTTTTTACAGTTAATTAATTATTATTATTTTAGGTAAATTAATTTCGAGCCCTGACCCACAAATACATACTTCATCTAACACAGTGATTTCACCTTTGTGGCTGCTGTGACTGCTGCAGTGGCAGCAATATTGAGTCCTCTCTTCCCGAACCGCATCATGGTCTCATAACTGCGGTCTTTAGCCTGGGTTATGTACTCATCAATTTCCTGTAACACACATATAAATCACGGATGACAAATCCATTACTCTGCCTCAACTCTCTGATTGGTGGAGTGTTCCGGAAACCTGTTTGAAAACAATCTTTGCAAACCAGTTTGAAGATGCCAAAAATGTCATTTCAATTTATGGGAAAAAAAGAAAAATGAGTCATCTTTAACAATATTTTGATTACATTCAAGGGGGCAAGTTGTATCAGTACCGTTTCTTTATTGGAGAGCGTGGGGTGCACAAACTTGCGGTACAGCACACTGGAGCCCTTGGTGTACGGTGACAAAAGCCAGATAACAAAGGCAATCTTCAGCTCAAAATAAAATGGAAACCTGGAAAATGGGAGGTCAACATTTAACAATTAATGCAATAAAAGTTACATTAAATTAATGATCATTAATAATAGGGTGATAAATGATGATAAATACACCACTACACATAAAAAATTTGAAAAATCAAATGTATATAGCATGATAACAAATATATCTGAAATAGTCTAAAAACATTATTAACAACTGACTGACCAAGAGAGAAGCATATCTGTGATGGTCTCTGCTGTTGTAAATAACGCAAACACTATCCAGTACATCATCCATTTCACCTGAGGATGGAAACACACACAGATGTTATAATCAAGCATGTGTGTGCATGACATTAGCATGTATCAGGTCACATGTTCTTGCTGAATATAGCCTCGTGTGTTATCCATGACTGCCTTATGAAAAACACTACACTGCCAGTTATGTCTCCATCTGTACTGCCAATTAGATTAATACCCATTTGGGTAATTATGATAGGACACATCACTATGGTCATCTAAAACTCCTTTTGCATTTATAAATTCATCTCCATAAGACAATAGAAGAGGTTATACAATGGCCAAACTGTCTTTACTAAACATCTCTAAATGAATGGAAGGCGGTGCTTTTTGTAATACAGATGAGAGAGATGCTAAAAATGGTGTCTGAGGGAGCAAACTGCTGCCCTAGTGGTTTCCATAGCAACCAGTAACCTGAGACTCCAAGATGATTGATATATATATATACAGTGGGTACGGAAAGTATTCAGACCCCCTTAAATTTTTCACTCTTTGTTATATTGCAGCCATTTGCTAAAATCATTTAAGTTAATTTTTTTTCCTCATTAATGTACACACAGCACCCCATATTGACAGAAAAACACAGAATTGTTGACATCTTTGCAGATTTATTAAAAAAGAAAAACTGAAAAATGCTCAGTATTTAGTAGAAGCACCCATTTGATCTAATACAGCCATGAGTCTTTTTGGGAAAGATGCAACAAGTTTTTCACACATGGATTTGGGGATCCTCTGGTTTTTTTTTTTTTTTTTTTTTGCTGTTGTTCTTTGTTTTTGTTTTTTTAAGGGCAAATCAATTTTACTAAAAGGGTTAAAAAAAATGTCAAATCAAAATTTGATGAAAGAATTAATATTTATTATAATAGTATATAATGTATAATATATACATACATACACATATATATACAACCTAGAATAAGATTTTGTTTATTAATTGCCATTAACTGGACATTAAGAGGAGTATATTCAATCCTGCTGACTATAACATTACAATAGAGTCAACTTTCAGGCTAATTGAAGTCATCCTGAAATACTCACATACTCCTTGACGTTTTTCGTCTTCACAGCCTTATAAGAGGAATAGGCTGGGTAGAGGGTCCCGAAGGCCAGGCTGCAGAGAGAAAAGACTCTTATTAAACACACAACACAACAGACACAGACAAGCTCATCTTACCATCACACCCACTCACTTCAGCATCTACAATTTCACTTGCACCATCACCTCAAGTTAAAGCACACAATTATGACACTTAAAAGGCTGCCTATTTACAGCAAGTGTTAAAGGTAAGATAGATATCTCCGGTTCATTCAGATCCAACAAGAACAGAAATAAATCAGTTTATAAATCACACATCCAATATACTGGTGGCTGATCAAAATATTCAGAGCTGTACTTCAGTGAAAAGCAAACCCATAAAACTTATCCCAGTCAACACTAGCCCTACTGTACACACACAATCATGCCCGATGACGTTACTGAGAGCAAACACTCTGAATCTGAGAGCCATTAAAAGTGAATCATTTATGAAAGGGAGTCGGAGCGCACAGAGACGGATGTACACACAACAGCCCTCTACGGACACCTTGGCAATTGAATCGCCATTGGCTAGTAAATTTTTTTGTTTACTCGCCAGAATGATAAAATATATATGTATATGTATATATGTAAAATGGCACAGTTTTATAAATATCTGAAAGTACACTCTTAACCATCAGTCAGTCAAGCATTGTAATATGATAATCAATATTATTTAAAAACTAACAAAAATACTGATAAGATAATAATGATACGAATTCTACTAATAAGAACAATAGAAAACGCACTAAGGATTAATGAGCTAGGATTAATGGATTCATGAATATTAATCAGGTTGTGTGCGTTCGCTCGAACTGATTTGCTGAAATCAAAACAGGGACGATAATAAGTGAGCGCCAGCCAATGAGATTGCCGTGTGCGCATTAGTTCCACCCACTATCGGAGAAAGCGGTAGTTCTTGAAAGCGGAAGAATTCCAAAGGAACTCCGTTATTTGGACAGGAAAATACAACAAAGAATATCGTTTACATGTG